AACGAATATGAGTTGAATGTTGTCGGGTTGTGCTACTCCAAAATTTTGCTTTGTTTAGTGTGGGGGGCCTCTTCAAACTGTCGGATTGGGACCATCTTCAAAGTGAATTTTTTTTGGGAGTCATGAAAAGAAAAGGGAGAGAAGGTGAAGGTGAAGGTGAAGGTGAAAATGTGACTTTTTATAAAGTGGAATAAAAAGTTTCACTTTATAAAGTGAAAGAAAAAATTTCGATATATATTAAAAATAAATGTTAAACACTAACGGAAAACGTTTAGAAAATTGAATATAGTGAAACTTTTTTTTCCACTAAGCTTATTTTAAGTTACTAAAATAGTGTTTTATTTTGGTTACTTTTATATTTTATGTGGCTTATTTTGGTTCCCAACTCTCATTGAGATGATGATCTTTAGGTGTAATCATAAAATTGATAACTTTATTTTTTAATTTATGATATTGTACATAATATTCTTGAGAACTAGTTAGTGTAGTGATTTAATTTAATTATAGTTATTCAAACTTAAAATAGATAAATGATGACATAATTATGACATTATATATCACCAATCAATTGAAAGATGCATTTTTAGTAGTAGTGATTTTTATGTTATTAGTGTGAAAATTTTGCAATTTTTATGTTAGAAAACTTGATTATGTTGCTTTAATGAAAAGATATCATAGAGTATACTAGTTGAAATAATTTATCTATGATCGTATTGAAATTTAAGACAAAAATATATCTAAATAATAATATTGGAAATTCGTTTAAAAAAAAAGAATGTCATTTTTATTGTTCCTTCCCTAGAAAGCTAAATGTCATTTTCATTTTTATTTTTTTTTTGTTTTTGTAGCATTACGACCATTGCTTAGAGAATTCGTGCATTTTATGAATTTACACATTGGGTTTATATCAAGACTCGCATTATTTCAAATGAATTTTGGAGAATTTGAAAATTCTATACAATTTTACCATTCTAGATTTAGAATCAACACCGAAGTAGTTGAATTAAATGAGGTAAAGAATTGAATGAAGTAGCTTTCTAAAATACATAATAGCTTCACTCGAACGTAGATAAGTAGAGAAGGAGTTGGACGGAATGAAAATAGTCATTTCTTTAGTGAAAGATATCATAAATCTACTATAGTTATTACATGTTCGATCTTCTTTCAGTATCAATGTGATTCAATATTTAATATATACATAAAATAAAACCCTATATATACAATGTATCATTTTAATTTTTTTATTTTCTTTTTGGATTCCCACCGATAAAATAAGGTACAAAAATATGATATGTGACTATTATGTTGATTCATCACCTAAAAACTCTTTATGCACAATCTTAATTTAATTTAATCAGGATTTGTTCATTTTAAACACTCATAGTAAAATTCTAGTGTGTCAGTTTGACACTTTTCGCTGAGTTGACACATTGTGTGCGATGCAATCATTTTGAGCTCATGAGAAGCTTAAAATTTGCAAAAAAAAAAAAGACTTGCTTTTTTGTTTAAATAAAAGAAGATGCAAATACTTAAAAATATGATCCCTTATTCTTCATTTTTCACCATTAAATCCGGCAATATCTTCATCGATTGATTATGTCGGAAAAATCTTCTCACCATTTTAAACATAAAATTCGACTTCATTATCAACAAACAAAATAAAAGAAACACACAAAATACATTTAACCATCACTTAGAAACACCAAATTTCATAACCCACACATAAAATTATAAAATCAAAAACTGGTGTTTTCATATAAAAATGAATTGTGTTATCAAAACTGGAGTCTTTGACATTATTAAAGAATGAGTTCACGGTCTTTCTTTTTCTTTACATTCTCCTCCTCGTTTTTGCTAATTTTTTTCCTTTCGAATCTGTTTTTTTTATACCTATTTCAGATCTGACTCTACTGTTAATCTCTTTTATACACAATTACAAATTCTATTGAATCAGAAAGAAGTGGAGGAGGAGGAGTAATGTGTGTGGAGAAAAAAAAAAGAGGAAGGTTGCTGCAACTTTTTTTATTATTTTAATCACTAAAATATACATTTTCTTTAAAGTAAAAATAACTACATAGTTTTAAAAATAAATTTTTACCCACAATATTTTTCAAAAATTATTTTTGTTAAGTATATATATCACGTGTCTTTATTTAATTCATTATTTTGAAACATCTTTGATGAGTGTGTTACACTCTTCTTAAAACTTTTGTTGATTGTTCAAAAAGTGTCTAAATGACACAACAAAATTTTACTATGGGTATCTAGAATGAAAAAATTCTAATTAAGGTGTTTAATTGAAAATTCGCGTTAACTTTAGGGGGCCACCAACGGGTTCCGTCTTAAATCTAAGAGTGTCAACTGGGTCGAGTCATTCTAGAATCAAATTGGATCCGATAGTAGCTAGGACTTATGGGTCGTGATGTGTCAGTTCACCTTGAAAATCTAAATCGGCTGAGCACGAACCTCAAACCGATAATTGAAATCAAATGATCTAATGTTGTTTGAGATTTATTTAGTCTAAAATTTAAACTTATATTTAACATTCATGAATTACTAAAAAAAAACTTTTTAAAAATATATATAAAAAAATAGTTGAAACTCAAACTAATATAGCCTGAAATTGTACAAGTTATATCAAACCCAATAAAACTCAAATCAATAGGACCCCATATTCTCAATCTGATATCCAACGCAAACACCTTGCAACTGCATTATGTAATGGGAAAACTACATAAATGAGCCATAAATTTAAAATAATTACAAGTTCATATCCGAATTCAAAGTAATTCCTGAAATACTCTTTCTCTCATGAATAATTACTGTTCATACCTCCATTCATTAAGAATGATAATTTTCACTTAAATGATACTATGTCAAATTTTAAATTTTAAATTTATCCACTTCATAATAAATATGGGTAACATGATAAACTTACTATGTCAATCATTGTTTTCTTATAGGGTGTGTCAATTCAAATATTGACAAGTATTTAAGAACATATGGAGTACATGACAAATTCAAACTACTAGCTAGCGATACTAAAAAATACTAGATAATAACTAATCAACTATATTTCCAAATTCAAACTGCTCCCTCCATCCCTAATTACTTGTGCATTTTTTTTAATTGTCCCAAATTATTTATCCATTTTAACAAATTAAGAAAAAATAAAAAATATTACATATTATATCCTCAATTTATTACTTTTAAAAAAGTAAAATTTCTTGAAATTCTTAAAGTTTCAATTCATTCACTTTATAATTTATATGGATAAAATAATAAATTCACTGTCATTATTTTCTTTTTCAAAAGTGAACAGAATGATAGACTAAAATTTATTAATCCGATTTGACATGTTTTTAAAGAGGGACTCTAATTTTGATCATCTCCAACCCACCTCTATTTTATTCTTTATTCTCTATATTTAGAGAGTAAAATAGAGAATGGACTCTCCAATCCCTCTTCATTTTACTCTCTAATGGAGAACTACTATTCACCTCTCTATTTCACTTTTTGATTATTTTAATATTATTTTCATTGTATTCGTTAATTAAGTCTTATTATTTATAATTAATTGTCTAATATAATATAACATCTAAAAACATATTATTGATAAATTATTATTTTATCCGAATTAATGATTTTATATTATTTTTCTAAAAAATCGTCACAGAAAATATGTAATTTTAAATTATTTTAATATTAATTATATTATATGAGACTATACTTAAGTTTTTAATAGTTGAATTATTATCTAAGTAATATAACATCTAAAAAAACATACTATTTATAAGTATACTATTTTCATCCCAAATTAACAAATTCTTTTTAAATGTTACTTTAAATATTTACCTTAAAATTATACTTCCTCCGTTTAAAAAAGGACCATATTTCCTTTTTAGTCTGTTTAAAAAAGAATCACCCTTTTTTGGCAATATTTTAACTTTAACTTTCCACGTGACATATTTAAGACCACTAGATCAAAGGGCATTTTGGTAAATCTGATATAACTTTAATTTAGAACCACAAGATTAAAAAGTCTTCTTTTTTTACTTAAACTCCGTTCCAAGTCAAACTAGACCATTATTTTTTAAACGGAAAGAGTAATTATCTTTCAATATGAAGAATACACAAAATCTACATGATAATTCAAACAATCTACTTTTATGTTATAGTGATAAACTATTAAGCTACACTTTTTAATGAGCATGAAAATACTTTTTGCTATAGTTCAAAATGGAATAGGGGAATTAAATTAGTACTCAAAATAATTTGATACAAGATAAAATTGTTAATTTAAATATTTTTTAGCTACACATAAAAAAAAATGGACAAAGAATTACTCATTTTGAACTGTCATGCATTAATAAAGTATTATGGGAGCAACATAATAGTAATGAAAGTCAAGTATTTATGCAAATGTAATATTATGTAATTGTATTTATCAATGATTTCACTTTTATTTGAATTGTTTGTTAGTATGTATTATACATAATATTTGTTGTAATTTATTTTATTTAAAAATTTAGAATAAAATATAATTTATATTTAATGAAAATTGAACAGAATAAAATTTATATTACACGAAAATTATAAAGATTATAGGATAATTATTTACTAAAAGAGAGATTATTTATAATATGAAATAAGAAAATAAAAATAATAATATAATATTGAAGAGAAAGATAAGACTCATTTTTGAGTATAAAATAGAGAAATGGATTGAAATTAATTGTCTGAAAAATAGAAAACTTTATATTGAGAGAGTAAAATAGAGGGTAGGTTAGGATGCCCTTTAAGCTTCTCACGATGGGTTGCATAGGTTACTGCTTCAATAGTCACTATTGGCTTTCCAAGCACATCCAATCAACCATACGGGGTTTTGCAAGAGGAATAGCAGCCGAAACGTATTTTTCGGCTTTTGCACAATTTAATGTACAATATTACGAGGTGTATGAAATATAATAAGGCAAAGTGAGCTGCAAGACACCATCTGAAACCATATTAAGAGTAAACTTTTACAAATGCCATGAAAATTGAACCATTTAGTAGTGTCATCATCTAATACTGAAAACTAAACATTCATAAATTTACCCATCTTAGAGCAGATGAGGGAGTTGAAAGTATTACCCTAAACAATCTACTAACATAAACCAAGTTAAAAATTAGAGAAACAAGTGCAGCAACTGCCTCCAGTTTGATGTAGCATTGCATCGATTTCATCACCCTCCTCCATCTCCAGCTATTTCAACAATTAAAGAAAAGAATGTGAGATTTGAACATACATTGGTAAAAGCAAAACAAGTGTGAAATGTTTCAATACCTCATCAGGAGTTTGCTCTGCCCTAAGCCTGCGCCCATCAAATAAGAATGCAATTGAGTTCATGTCCACTGACTGCCGGTCACAATAAGCATTCATGAGCTTGCGCATCTGTGTGCTACGTTTGATCCTGAAAAAAACTTCATTCCCATCCTGCATGTAATAATTGATGTCGAGTACCATGAGAAAAGATACACGATTCTATATGAAACTGGCCCCTCAACAATTCCATCTTCTTAGTCAAACTATATCTTCCACCTTTTTTCGGTCAAGGGAGAATAAGGTGTCTAAAAACAAACCAAAGTTAAGTCAACTGAAGAGTAAAGTCTATTTTACACATGGGTACAGGTACCACAGAGGCAGAGGCCTCAAGCTGTAATACAACTATATGTAGTTAGACTGTAATCATTGGTCACATTTGAGCTAGGAAGCTTCAAGCAATCACTGATCCACGCAAAGATGCTAGGTTAATCTTACATAAGCAAAACAATGACAATACTTGTTCCACCTCAAGAACTTGTAACCATTGGACATAGTATCAGCAACCATAGTACAATATCAAAAAGTATTGAAGCTATTTATCCAGCCCAAGAGGATGTACAGTAGAAGGAGATTACACTTACCATCATAAATAATACTGAACATACAACGCATGGAGTTTGCTATACCAATGACATTAATGAGGATATAGAAGACCACCAAGAAGTTTGCAACAACAATATTCATACACAGAGGGTTTGTTGGTCATCTTTTCCCTCTTTAATATGTATGGGCATTAACTAATGGATGGAGTTGCATTATGTATGGAACTGCATTCAGCCATTCAGTGATAACATGTTATCCTTGATCATGTTAAAGTTGGTATGCATGTTTTCATCCATAGAGTCGCTAAGGTTGTTCACTGAACAACTTCACCCAAAAACAGGCCAAAAGATGCCAAATTGTATTCGTGCTATCACAGAACATACAGAGCATAAGATATGTCTTCTGCCATACTAAATCCCCTCTCCTGGTTATCTCTACAGGCAAACAATCACTTTACTTCATCATTGCCTTACTCAAGCTACCAGTACTACCCACACCTAAAATACCACACTTCCATCCCTAGCATCCTATTCACATGTCCAATTAATAACTGCAACCTTCCCACATCAAAAGGATATGTTCTCATGCTGTAGAATCAATCATTTCTTAGATGGAAATCAAAAAACCTTATAACTAGGCAATAACACATGTATGTTACTTAATGATGCAGCTTACAATGTATAGTGAACAAAGTTGAAAATAAATAGGGAAGATAAATAATATTTGACAATTTGCCAACACCTGAAATTCATGAGCATAAAATGGAACATATTTGACAACTACCCAAAAACATGTTTTTTTACAACTTAAAGCTTTCAACAGTGTTTTGGGAAGCGAGAAACGGAAAAAAGCGACGAGTGATCGCTTCACATAAGCGAGGGGCGCACTTTTTTTTAAGTAAAGAGATATTTAGTATAAAAATTAAAAAATATCAAATAACTGAATAGAGGTAATAAATGCTTAGATTAAAAGTAATAGATAGTTAATAATCCTCATAAGTCATAACATATAAAGCAAAAACATGATTAAATCACAAAAGAATTAGTCGCAGCAGCCTCGCAGAGAAGAAGAGAAGAAGAAGAGCAGCCTGGCTGCAACCAAAAATTGAAAAAAAAGAGTAGCAGAGCAGTCGCAAAGAAGAAGAGAAGAAGAGAACTTGCAGCAGCCATCTCAGCCTCGCAGCAGTCAAAAAATAAATTTGAAGTCGCGACAGAGGTATGTGAAGTCGCGTAAGGATTTCAGAATTTTTTCTTGAAAAAAAAACTAACAATTTTTTTCAAAAAAAACCTAATTAGCGCTTTTTCAAATTAAGCACGCTTTTTCATGCTTTCGCTTTTCTTGCGCTTTGCTTTTTCAATGTTGCCTCGCTTCAGGAAACAAAAGTGCAGGGGCTGCTGCTTTAAGCGCGTTCCTTATAACTCTGGGTTTCAATATTTGAAAAACCAATATGATGCTTTAAATTTGATTTTGTGCATATGCCAATGTTAACTTACAGATTCAAGGTACACCAGAGTAAAAGAAAGTGTAGGAATCATTGACCCAATAGCAACTCTAAGACAAATAATCCAATTACATGGAGCTTTGGATCATTTCGAAACAGCTGATTATTCATTCCAAGTCATGCTCATGAGTTATACTCATGACAATTGTCAAACATTATCAAAATGAGAATACAATTGTAAAGAGGCAAGCCATGATAATTCAAACTGCATTTATCCATTTATGTACAGTAAGTTGTGATCTACAAAGTATAAAATTTTGTAAGATCTTTATTAAACATCTAAATTTTAGTCAATGTTCAGAGTTTATTGATTTGTAATAAAACTTCCCAGTCTGCCAGAATGCAAATTCATGAAAAACTGACCAATCCAATAAACTTGATGATTGATCATGTATCAACAAATCACATGCAAATTGAATGTAGAATTTTATCATCTATAAATACTATGATAACATGACTACTAGGAGTTGTTAAAAAAATACAAAAGGTGTCCTGCATAAACATACCCTTTAACTTAATCTCATCTGGCATCTATGCCATATAAACAAGTATACACTTATATTTGTATAGAATTAAATAAATACACACATGTCCTACTTGACATGCTACGTGACAATTCACATCCTACTCACATCCTACCTGATATCCTACATATATGTCATGTATGACGTGTATCACTTTCGAACTTTACAAGTGTCTACACAGACATCTTAGAGAGCAAACATATATTGAACCCAAGTTAAAAGGCATATTCACGTGTTATGCCAAATGTGAACCGCGAAATCGCAGTTTCTCATCCTTGCATTCATTCCAAACAAAACGTTCCATTCAATTATTTTAAAAACTAAACCTAATCACAAAAAAGACTACAATGAACACGAAAATAGTAGTACATATGAGACCAAATACACACAGAGTAAAGATATTAGAATACCATACATACAAAAAATTAAAACGACATAAATGTTTATACCTGACCCTTAACCTTGAGATTGATATGAACCATCTGATCATTAGGCTTCTTATCTTCATCTCCGGTGCCGCCGCTAGCAGACATTATGATCACACTTTACTAATTCTTCTTCTTCTCCCGCCCGAGATAATTCTTCAAAGCAAAATACCTAAAGGCTGAAGGTCTCCTCCCTTTAATACGGTGAGCGTTCGTTTTTCTCTGCTATGAGCTTTCCACGCGCGAAAAGGTTCAATCTACGAAATTGACGGTGCAAAAATGTTCAAGGATGACGTGGCATTTTCATATCGCGAGTGGGGGACGCTGAGAGTAGGAAAAATTATAAACTATATTTAATAATATATTTGAATTCCGTGGTGAAAAGGAAAAACGAGGGAATCCATGATGTTGACCAGGAAAGTAGGAGAATAACGGTCAGGATATGTCCAAGAAAGAATTGGACGGCTGTGAATGCAAATACGCTTGGAGTTCTATTCTCCACTACAGTAGCCAGTTGCAAAAAGGTTTCAAGAAGGCATAATACTTTATTTCAAATTTTAACTTTGATATCTAAACTTTTATAATGCACAAACAGATGTTTTAACTATTCAATTTTTAAATAAATAAATATATGAGTTCTACATGGTAAAATACATGTAGGACAAAAAATGTCATGTAGGATGATATGTAGGACATGTGTGTCTATTTGTTCAATTTTGTATCAGTTGAAGTGTCTACTTATGCACACCCAAAGTTGAAGGATATGTGATTTGAAGCCAAGTTAAAGGGCATATTTATGTATTATGTCTTTTAAGAATGAATTCTTTTTTCCAAAAAAAATTAATTTTTATTATTAAATTTTATAAAAAGACTTTTGTATGTGTACTTATTTTTTAAGTATTTATATAATAGTTAAATCGAGCACATAAAATAGTTTATCTTAATGTATATTTCAATTTGGAAACACATAATTTACTTTACATAATTAACTTATTTGCATAACAGTTACATATGGTCAAGCTCAAAAGAATTGTCAAAATTTGAATCGTAAATATCTAATATGAACACTAGATCATGCGAAGGAGCAATCTGAATATCTAAACAAAATTTACAAACAAATTTAAAAGGTCATTCAATGTATTAAACCAAATTAAAAGTAGGCTAAAGTTTTTTGGGGCTGAAAATATTTTTTTAAAATAATAAATAGTATATATATTTTCTTTTTTGAGATGTTTGGCTAATAAGAACCATGTTCTTTTAAGCCAAAAGAGTTTTTTGTTATTGAGAATAAGTTATTATTCTAAAAAGGAGAATTAATTTTTCTTCTTTTTTAAAAAAAAAAAGAAAAAGAAAAACTTATGGTAAATATTTTTATCATAAATCCATTTTTATTAAACTATCTTTCATTAATTAAGCATAATCACTTTTATTTAAAAATTTATTATAAATGCATTAATGTGATATCTTTTGTAACTCTTTTTCAAGTTCACGTACCAAAAAAATGAACATTATTCAATTCATGTAACTTGAAAAGAAATTGTGTGCTACAAATAAGTGATGATTATTTTATAAAAAAAAACACAATTGAAAAGTATAGAAGAAAGAAATAAGAAAATATTTTCTCGCATATATCTTGTCTATACAATATGGTCTTATATTATTTTATATTGTTAATGTTTTACAACACTTTATCAATATGAGTTTTTAAAAAAATGAAATTTACTTAATTCGGAGTTATCTTTTTTCCTAAAACTTTATCAATTTTTTTACCAAGTTAGATATACATTTTAATGTTTATAACATCTCCAAAAGGATTTACATAAGTTTTTGATCTGTAATTTAATTACTGCGTAAATTATTTGTTTTAGATATTATTATGATACTTTATTAGGCAATAATAATCAATACGTTTTAGATTATATTATTATGCCACTTATATGGTACTAATTAACTTATGAGCAATGGCGTACACAAATTTTTTTTTATAAAGGGTATCACCTTTTAAATGAAAAAAAATTAAATAAAATAATGTGACATCATATTTTTTTGTAAAAAAATAAAATATAATTCATGCTCACTACTATGCCTTTTAAAAAAATATTTTAAAAATTATATAAAAAACACCATGAGTTTTTTTTTTAATTTTGAAATGTATTCAAAATCTCTTTTTAAAGTTAATAATATTAAATGTTTCATAAATCCTTAATTAATTTTATTGGTGAGAAAGAAGGTGGAAGGAAAAAAACATAAAAAAGTTAGTCTATAAGAATGATGAATGAAGAACTTTAAATATATAAAAAGATGGTCTAACCCATCAATGACCACTTAAAGTTGACATTAACTTTCACTAGGACACTTTAATTAGGCTTTGTTCATTTTAAGTAACTCATGTCAAATCTAATTATGTCATTCTGATTTTTTTTATATTTTCAAAGTCACCTTTTAAATGCGTACATCAAGGCGCCTCTTATGTGGAAAAATAAACAAATCATTATGTGACACGTAGAAAGTTTATTTTATTTTTAAAAAACTTAGTTTTACTTTTTCTTTTCTTCCATACCCTAAGCGCATGCCCTCGCCTCTTTTCTTCTTCTTCTTGTGTCTCCTTCCCCTTTTCATCCTCTTCTCCATCAAAAAGACAAGAACATAGGTAGTTCACAAAGAAAAATACGTTCGGATCGAGAATAAGAAAAATCATATCAAATTGAAAAGTTTTTGTATGACATTTAAATGAAGTTGATATCTTGTGCTACTACGATCGGAATTTACAGTGAAGGATATGTAGAATAAATATTTTTTTTTATTGGAGGTTATTCTTTATTTATTTTTTAATCCCTTGAAATCAATTTAATTTTGCAATTTCAATGAAGAAGGTAAGAATGTAAATCAGTTTTTCCTTTTGAAGAAGCTGATTTTTATTTTGTTCCCCGAAAATCGATTTTGTTTTTGAATTGAATCAAGATGGTATTTTTTTATTTTCAAAAGAATAGGGTCGTCTTAGCCCGTAGGTCACTAAAATCATCGCTTGGGGTTCCATATATTTGGGGGGGCATTTTTTTTAAAAAAAATTACTTATATATGTTATTTTTAAAACTAAAATAAAATTATATGTACTATGAGTGTTATGATTTCTACCAAGAAAATTGCATATGAGATGAAAATAAACATGAGTTACTTAGGAACAATTTGATGAAAATATGGATAACGAAATTACAGAGTCCCTTGAAGAATCTTTTAGAGTTTATTGTTTTATATATGTAGAGTCGATAAACCTATTTTTTCTCTTCAAAATAGATTTGAATCAATTGAAGCATATGAAAATATTTTTGATTCTTATTTAGTGGTAAACTATTGAGATCATTAGATGATGAGAATTTTTAAAAAATATTGTCTTAACCTTGAATATTCTTTAACACATAATAATTATTCTGATATTGATGATTTAGATTTATTTTATGAATTAAAAATGTTAAGAGAAATAATACAAGTAGAAGATAATGATCGAATGAAAATATTCAATCAAATAAAAAGATTGGATTCTTTTTTCAAATACACATATTGCTTATAGAATAATGTTAGTCGTTCCTGTAATCATTCTTAAGTCAAAAAAAGTTTTTTTCGAAATTAAAATTGATTAAGCGTTCTTTAAGATCAACAATGTCTCATCAACATGGTTGTGGTGCACTGGTGGGAATGATTCACCCTTAATCATAGATTTCGAGTTTGAGCCCTGGATATGGAGAAAATCATGTTAGGAGCGCCACTCCCTAATGAGCTTGCATATAAAACATTACATAATGACTTTAGTACATAATGACTTCGCATTGAAAATAACTAAAAAAAGTAGATCTTAAAAAAAAAGTATATATGATGAAAAAAATATATTAGGACCCCTCTCTTAAGTTTTGTTTTAGGCCCCCAATGTTGTTGAGTCGACCCTGCAAAAGTAGATGGAAGAATCAAAGAGTGCTACCTAATAAAGTATTGTAGATTTTTTTTTAAAAAAAAATGAGTTGTGATGGTAGATGGTAGAAGGTGGAAAAGAAAGAAGGGAAAAAGGAAGGAAGAAAAAGGAGAAGAAAATATTTACAAAGAAAGTCAGAATGTTTTTTAAAAATATCTTTGACGCACTTGAAATTTGTGTAGCACAGGTACCATACTTAGTCAGCAAAAAGTATCAAAAAAAACACAACGAGACGCACATAAGATATCTAAAATAAACAAAAATTAGTTGAAGTTGTCCAAGTGAAAGTATGTGCCAACTTAAGGGGGTCAGTTACGGGTTAGACCTAAAAAGAATGACAAGCTTTGAATGCAAACACACAAGCTCAACCTTGGAACTAACGGCTTGACCAACTAAGCTCAGCCTACATTTGTGTCGTTCGTTATCAGTACCTGTTTTAGAGCGATATAAAAGGAGTGTTACTGTATTTAATATATTCACATTTTTTTCCTTTAATTATATATGCATATTTAGTAATCTTTTCCAACAAAGGAGTGTGACACCCCTTGGATGTACGCAGATCCGTCCATGTTTATGACTCTAAATTAAATTCTAAGTAATATGATAGTATGCTAGTTAAAAATACTCGTAAGTATTTTCTCGTCATATATTATGATAAGTATATTTGTGTGTCATAAAGAAGAATATTATTGTATTAAATATGACTTAAAACTCTTACAAATTTTGACGTTTATATCTATTAAAACTAATTCTACTAAATATTATAGAACAATTAAAATTACATATTAAATCTATTGTTTCAATACTTTATTATTTTTTTTAAGACATTTCATATGCATGCGTATAATGTATTTAGGCTTAAGTCATCTCCAGCCACCTAAAGTTGTCTGCATTATTCACATAGATACCTCAATTAAGGCTTGTACCTATTGAACACCTCGCCCACATTAAATTACTACCACTTGAACACTTTTTGTCTACATGACATTTTGAATGTGATTCACACCTAATGAGCGTGTGAAAGCATTTTCATAGATTTTGTAAAAATAAAAGATTTTGTCTTCCTCCTTATGCATCATTACTCCTCTACCTTTGTTCTTCCTTGTGCTTGTTGACATTACTCCTCCACCTTACAACCAAGCAACTACTGCGTCGCCACCACAATCATCAACCAATAACATCCTTCT